ATCAGCTAACGGGGCTGTGATCATGACAATAACCATCTTTATATTTGGTTTGTAATGCGTGATATACTGATAAAGTTTCCTTCTTGAATAAACACATTTAAATCATGAGCATACAAAAGAATATTTAACCAATACATTACAAGAACTATCATTGAACCTTGGGGAACTCCACAACAAATCAGAATTCTGATTCAATATTTCAATTCTTTCAACAAGAATTGTTTATGAAAATACTATCTGAGCTATGACAGTAAGAGAAAAGAAAAATTATTTATAGGAATTTGTTGTTACATATACAGTAGTTCAAAATATGTAACGGTAGAAAAGTGAAAAGGGGATAAACATAAAAAAAATAAAGAACGCCAATATCAAGATATTTGCTATAATTTTCATTGGCTGCAGATATCATTTTTTTATTATTAATCAGTACCAAAAAGCAAGGCATGAAATATAAAAACATGGATTATTCTCCCCATGTTTAAAGTTGCAAGTTATCCTTTCACCCTAGGTCTAATTGTTTTCCTAATTTAATTATTGTAAGTGTGAAAAGCATGCTTGCACAATTTTAGAAATTAATCCCAGATTATAAAAAACAAGCTAAGGGCCTAAAATCGGACCTAAAGGGACGATACAAATGAGAATAGAAAATGCTGTTTAGACATACTGGAATAGCATTCTTTAGCATATTTGGAACGAATTCTGACATTTTGACTAGGCCACTTCAAACTGTTTGTTTTTGTTTTGAGGCATTTTAAGGTGGACTTTCTGGTGGGCTTTAGATCTTCATTCTGCTGCATAATACAAATCATCTTGAAATTAAGATTTTAAGCAGATGGGTGTACATTGCTTTTTTTCGGGATTTTCAGGCAGAAAGCAGAATTAGCTCTCAGGCCATATAAGGTTAGCTTTCAGAGTGAGCAGAGTGGTTCCATCAGTCACAGAAAGTGATCAGCATTCTGAAGCAGCAAAGCAGCCCCACACCATAATACTGCAACCACCATCTTTTAACTATTGCCGAATGGCCTTTTTTTCTGAAATGCTTTGTTAGTTTTAAGTCAAATCTAAAAGGAGGCATGCAATTCAAAAGGTTCCTCCTTTTTTTCTTCCGTTCCGCTAAATATTTTCTCCATAGTTGTAAAGGATCACAAGATATTCTGGAAACTGCGAGACATGCTTTTTAATATTGCTTTGTTAGCATTGATTTTGGCATTGTAATTCTCTCACTAAGGCCTAAATTTGCTCAGTTCTTCATGAACACTAACCCTAACTGAGCCAAGTCAGGCTCCTAGTGGTTTAAATGTTGCTTTGGGCTGTTCTATCACTTCCTGTATAAATGTGCAGAGGGACTTTGATGGACCAGCCACTCTTGAGTTGTTCTCTCCATTTGTGGATAATTGGCTAATTACAACTTGGTGTGGTCCAGAAGTATCATAAAATCACTTTGTAACAATTTGCAAACCGTCATTATTTTCTCAGATTAAGGGATGCTGTTGTGCTCTTTTAATTATTTTAGCCCACTTCATGATGTAAGGCTTAGGTATGAAAGTCAAAAACTAAATGAGAAAGGAATTTTCATTCCGGAAAAAAGTTGTTTTTTTCTGGCAACAAGTCCAAAAGTAATGCTTAAGGCTTTACAAATGTATGTTTTGCTGTTATGGTTTACAGGATTGCATATAGGAAGCATATACAGCTGTTTAGAAAGAACAATGTGGTCTTGATTAACAGGGGAAACTCTATTAGGGTTGGTTTTGAAATTGGACTGCCCTCCATGCAGTCCAGAGTGTGTCCACAGATAAATAAAAACACTTTTACTAAATGTTTATGGAAAACTTGTTTTGATTTAATCTAATTCTTGATTGGTGCATTTCTATTGTCCTTAAGTGGTTGCAGCAAGATGCTGCATATTGTCTTTTGTGGAGAGCTTGATCTGTTTTTCCATCATCTGTTGGGGTAACAGCATCAGAGCAAAAAAACTAAAAAAAAAAGAAGCTGAACAAGCCGATAATAGCTGGTTCTGTTCTAGGAACTCCTCTAGGATCTCTGGAGATGATCTCACAAAAAATGTTTTTTTTTCATAAATTGAAGGAGCCTCTTCAGAAGATTTGTTAAACACCAACAGAGTCTCTTCAGTTAAAGGCTTCTCCAGATGCGGTGCAAGGCAGTCCACCACCGAACATCCTTCCTGCCCACAGCTATCAACATCTACAACAACCTGAAAGAAAACCATATAAGTTATAACAACAAGCCATTCCCTGCTGGGATCAATAAAGTATTCTTGAATATAATCAAGTTGTTCAATGTTCATTTTTATTTAGAACTGTAAAATTATATCATGTGTGTTAAATTCCAAACTTGACAAAAAACATAATAGTATTCAATACCTTGACCTTAACAACGGACATCCTTCCACAGTTTCACAACAAATAATAGCAGCTGAAACTCATATTTGAAGGTTTATGTTATTTTTTTTTTTTAACAAAAACAGAAAAAACAAACCAAAACTCTATACAGAAGAATGCAGCTTTGAGCATTTTTTTTTCTAACCACCAAAGTTTCCTTGAGGGATTTTATGAGTCAACAAATTATCCATCTGTGCTGTTAGCACTAAAACTGCACATATATAAATACTGTGGGTGTGATAGCATGGTCCCAAATTCCCCGAAAAAATTGTTTCTGACATTTAATGACTGGTTTCCCGTGTTATCTTACCACATTTGACTTCTTCTTAGGTGATTAATGAGCAAAACTCTCTTCCAGTGAACACCCTCCTCAACTCCACTCACTCCCCCAAATGGGAGCAGCTGAATGGGGAGTGAATCGGGGGGCTGCAACCTCAGTGGTTAGGGCATAGAACTTGGAACACTAAAGGTTCTGAGTTCGAGCCCCACTCCCACAGACTGCCACTCTGCTTCTTTTAGCAAGACCCTTAACCCCGATTGCTCCTTGGGCACCCCACTATGACAGCCCACTGCTCCCCAAGGGATAAGTTAAATACAGAGATACATTTCTCCAATGTGAGATCAATAAAGTTCAATTATTATTATGAATCCAGATGTGGCCAGAAAATATGAGTGAAGGATGTTCTTATTTCAACAACCACCAACTCTGACCTGCAGTGATTGTTATGGCGATAAAAGAAAAACAATCTGCGGCACATCCATGCGCTGCAGTGTCCTGCAGGACAAAGGAAGATTATTTACTTTGATATAAAAAGCAGTGTATCCTGTTGCTGATGTTAAAAATAAATCCACCCCTTGATTATTCCAAACACTTTGGCAGATTGATTGAATCTAGAATTGCAGGAGTTGTTTGGGTTGTATTGTTTTTCTCCTTCTGTGACAAGATCATTTCTCCTACCTTTAACCTCAGCCTCACAGGGGGTTGACTGTTAGACAGGTCAGAGGTCAGATTGGTAAGTGATCAAATTATTTCTTATTTCATCTGCTGCAGGAATAAACATAAAGGTATAATTTCTAAATGCATTTATTTACACCAAGCCGGTTACCTGTTATTGCTGTTACAGTAATTGACTATTAGATGCATTTTCTGATTAATTTAGTCTTTGTTGTACATGGCAATTTTTACACATTTTTACCAGCATTTTAAAATATTACCAAAACATCCTGAAAATGCTCAACTTTATCTCTCAGTTTTTTTCTGGAAAATCTAAGATTTCCTCAATGTTCTCTCTTTTTTAATCCTAATTTTTCAATGAAAGCAAGCATATATTTACAATAATTATCAAATCAAACTAATTATGATAACAAGCGAATTAGTTCTTGAATACCAAATGATCAACAGATTGCTGTTGTGCTGAAACCGGCTGCATTTTGGTTTATTAGTGATTTTTATGCGTTTTTAAACAGCCCTATAAATTATTAACATCTCTTTTTTTAATCTGCTTTCATGTGCTACAACCAAAACCATCCATTTTAAAAGTGCTAACTATTTGTGAGGCGGAAAGAATAAACATTTTATACCATAAAAACCTGACATATTTTGCATGCGTCCATGTTTAGGCAATCACATGCACCCAATTTCTATTTTTGTAGGGTGTTTATTTCATTGTCCCCAAAACTGCTTAGTTCATAAATATATGAAAATGATTTTTTTCCCTTTGCATGGTATTTTCTTTTAACTCTTCTTTATTATGTTATTTTTATACGGTCCATATTTGTTCTTTTTGCTGCTGTAAACACCAGACTTTCCCCATTGTGGGACAATAAAGGGATTTTCTATTCTATCCTATTGTATTCTCTTTGCAACAGGTTTTTGAGAGTTTGTCTCTCTCAACTTTGCACATTTAGAAACAAGAAATGCATTTATGTTTTTTTTTGTTTTTTTTTTTGTTTTTTCTAAATACCTCAAGTTCAGAATTCATTTTTGATGCTTTGTTAAATTTGGAATTGAATTCTAACGTAAACATACCCACATCTGAACCCTGCAATCATTGCTCAGTGTAGCTGTTTGTTCATTTATCATTTCTTTTCTCACCATATCATAATATCACCACCTCCAGCAAACAGATGTCTTTGTTCCAAGGTTAAATAGGGTAATTTGATTCACTGACTATACCTTTTAGGGCAATGGACAGGAATATACACTTCTTTTTCAGTTTAAAACATGGTTTGCTTTAAAAAATACCTTAAACCTGGATTTAAACAAGGAACTGGGCAAATTTAAAAAGCTTCAGCTTATTCTTTATGTAAATTACATTGTTATTCCAGGTAAACTGATAGATTACTATAAGATCTTAGAACAGTGTTAAGTTTGCACTGGGTTTTATAAGGAGTATGAATAGATCATGTGTGGTAAAGTACAAAATGTATTTATAGTACTTTTACCAACTGATTTATTGTTTTAAGTTTAACCTGATTTGTTTTTTCTTTTTCTATATTTAGTCCTCCTCGGACAGTGTCCTCCCCGACAAAGTGACGTCGCGTCCTTCCTCCGTGTCTCCATAAAACGCTTGTCACGCGTGGACCGTAAGTGCTGCTAAGAGGCTGAAAGGGAGGAGAGTCATCCAAGGCGCGGATGAAAGCCGCGCACTGATGGTTTCTTCTCCGTTACAATCACGCGCATAAAGGAGCAGAAACAGCGCAGTTATTTACCGAGAGTTCTTCCATTTCCCTCCCATTTCCTTTGGTGCACCTGTCCCGTTAACAGAGCGGTCCATCCGGCCCCTCATCGCGGGCTCTGGTGTTGGGGTCCCCAGCTGCTGCGCAGGAGAGCTCCCCTGCGTCACAGCCGCTGCAGCCTGAGCTCCTCCACCTTTGTGGATTTATTGGACGCTTTTTTTTAAGGATAAAAAGTCAATCAGAGGATAATTTGTGTAGGCTTTCTGACGCTGAGACGCATCTAAGAAGGACTTTAAATTGTAAACACAAGATTTGGATTTTTTTTTTTTTACTTTCTTTTAGCTGTAAAGATGAAATCTTCCAGCTTCATCATTTTGATTTCCCTCATCTGCTGTTCGACATTAACAGCTGGTAAGAACTTTTTTACACTAATATCGGATTAATAGGTAATTAGTTAATGATTGCTGCACTGGAATTTATTTATTTTAATTTTTTTCTGGTTATTACTATAATACACAAGACTCGGTGAGAGTAAGGCTTTTCATTCTGCTAGTAGTAACATGTAAATTTAGTTTTCTTAATATGGATTAATATTTTCATGGGAGATTTCATTTAGACATTAAACAACTCAGTGGGACCTCCAGTTCTCACACTCACCACTAGATGCAGTCTTGTCCCTTTGGACACGTCGAAATGTGACAGTGTGGAAATCTCTTGAACTTGGCAGGTAATCTAGAATGTTTATTTTTTGGTAACAGAAGCAATATTTCAGAATAGTAATAATAATAATAATAATAATACATCTGTTCTTCCCAGATTATCTCAACACGCGGCTCTTTGTTTTATTTTGATATAAAATAAAGTTTATCCCATGAATTGTTATTTCAAAGTCAGGAAGATAACATTTTAGGGGGTGGAATGGATGTTTAGTGAAAGCAGCAGCTTGATTGTTTGAGAGTAGCTCCTGCAGAATGAAAACATGGATGTTCATCCACCTTGTGCCATAGATAGACACTAAGGCTTCCATATAAACAGCCCATCTAAACAAAGGAAACACTGTTCCCATTTTTGCCCCTCGACTCCCTCCCACACCCACTCACACACACACGCACGCTTTGAGCATATGAAGCTTTTGTTTGCGGTGTTTTTAAGTAGATTTCCTTCACTGTCCACGCACAAAGCGTGGGAAAGACGCACGCAGGAAACGGATGCAGCGACAAGAGGCAGCTTGGAATTGTTCTGGCCAGAAAAGGTCACGCAAATGTGACACGCTACCTGAGCAAAGCAGAGAGAAAAAATGTCTTCCTGTAGCTTCTTGAGGTGATTTTTAGAATATTTCAAACCTGAATTAAAAGACAATGGCAAGAGAGGAAGTTGGGGGCATTGTTTCTGTGAGTTGACTGGTAGAGCCATTAGTTATTTTATAAGGGAGATTCTGCTGATGTGTGTAACAGGTCTGCTGAAGGATAAAATACTGGGATGAGTCATTCTAAATGAACAAAATAAGAACAGAGAAGCAATGACCTCCTATGCATATGGCAATGAAGATAAGTCTTCAATAAAAAAGTCAGAACATTTAGAAAACTAAAGAGAAAAACTGGACATAACACTGTAAAACTATAAACCTCAAAGTTGTATGAGCTAAGTCTTATTCAGACCTTTTAAAAAAAGGATGCAATGCCAAGCGGTTAACTATTAAATATGCAAAATGAAATATAACAGTAATCAAATTGAGTAATAGCACGCTTCGTAAAAACAGACTATGCTGTTAATTGGCTACTAGAAAAAAAAAATAGAATCAACTTCATGGATGGAGACGGATTCAATTTTAGCCTTTTCAAATACGCATCTTTATTCCAGTCAAAAATGTTTTTATAGAAATGTTTCAAACAAATATTTAAAAGGCAAACGATAAACCGAAAAACAAACAAAATCGTTGTTTGCTTTTTCTTCGATACAATCAGCTAAAATTTGCAGATTGATGGAAGCAAACTTGGGTTTAATGTTGTGCATAGGAAAATAAAGCAGAAGACTGAATGATAGATTGATTACCTTTTGTAGAATAAAGAATGCGTTGTATTTTTTAGTTTCATTGGAGTTTTTGAATTAGAAAAAAAACAACACACAAAATGATACAAGGCAGGTCATCTGAATCTCAAAACTGTAGCTTCAGATTCAGGTAAATATGCAGATACTGTACAATTGTGTGGTAATAGTAGCAAATGAAATGTTAAATAAAATATGATGTTTATGGATAATATTGCCCAGATTGCTTCCACTATATTGCTTAAAGGGATATTGTTTAAAATAAAAACAGAATAGGACCAAGAAAAGAACCCTGATGGATACCAAAATACACTGTAGTAAGAGGCAAGGATTTTTTACTCAAATGTATATGTAAGAAGTGAAAATTCTGATTTTAGTTTAATAAAATTTCTATTTGTCTAGCTTTTAGATTAGAAGTCTGAAAATATAGCCTAGTTGATTACCCAGCTTGGATCAAATGGCAGCAATATTTGAGTGTTCAGCATTATTATGTATGCAAATATAATATTTGTTTATATTGCTACAAGAAAGCTCAGGTAAAATGTGTATTATTCTAAAATCCACCCTAAAGCAGAGCGCTGATAGACACCAAAATTCACTGTAGTAGGAGTGTAGAGTAAGATGTGTTATTTTATTTAACTGGAATGAGTTGAATCTGTTAGATAACTGGTTTGAACATGTCCAGAGGGCTACTTGATTCCAGTGACATGTTTAATATTGGTGCTTGATAAACACAGCTGCTTTAGATAATGTGTGAGTCGCTGACTTTTTGCTCTTAAGGTTAGATTTTGTATTGCAAAAGGAGAACATTCCTGACATAAATTCCTCTTCATGTAAGTCTGACTTTGTATGAGTTTATAAAGTCACTACTTAACTGAGCTGTTATGTGAAGAAGAATAATCTGTTTTTTGATCAATGAGATTAAAAAAGAAATAATTATAGGTTTGGTATAAATCTCTTCTGACTCATCTCTTGTTTCTGGCTTGTACACTTGAGACAGACTGTAAAATAGGAGTGACGGGAGGTCAGCCAAGTGCAGAGGGACTCATTGCTCACTGGTGGTATGTCTCAGTCTGCACTAAAAAATAAAATAAAAAATAAACCTACATGGATTGTTAGACTTTCCTCTGAAGAGGAAAAATCACTCCCCCACCACAGGACGTCCTGCTCTACAAATTACTTTGGCATGTCTCTGTTCTTATTTGACTATTAGAACATCTGGTCCAAACCAGGCACGTCCATCTAGATGCTTTAAGCAAAATATTTCCTCTAAGACCAGTAGGCAATTTTAATTTCATGGGGCTTCTGTCTGACTACCTGCCCTAATCACACATTATGGAGCAGGAACTCTCTCCGTTTACTTATCTGGACTCCCATGCTGGTTATTCCTGTTTCTCGGCTTATCGCAGCTTCATATAAGCTAAATTGGCCACCCATCATGTCCAGATGTTCATTTATTTTGCTTTTTTAGGAGGAGTCAGAGGCATTTTGCCCCCAAATCTCCAAAGGCTAATATATTTCAAATAAAAAGATGCCTGCAGCTGTAAGATGCTTGCTGTAACCTCGCAGTTGTAAGGGTGTGTGGCCAATTTTTTTTACCTTGTGGGGACAGTGTAAGGTCAATTCCCCAGTTTCTAAATAATACACAAACAGGTTGCTTAGAGTTTCTGTCACTCTCTGCCTCCCATTCTCAGACTTGTCTTTCATTTCTTGCAAAAGTCCAGAAGAATATCACAAAGCGAGTTTGAACAAGGTAAACATGTTGTCTGATGAAAAACTGTGGCTACACTTGGTCATCATTTTTCGTAACAGGACGGGAAGCCAAGGGAGATGGGCTGTATTTTCTACAAATGAAAAGGGAACTCCGCAGATTGTTTCCCGCATCTGAAGGGCGGTGTTTTGGGCTTTCCTGTTTGATTCAGTGACTCTTCAGTCACTCTACAGTAATGAGCAGTTTTTATTATGCAATGCTGCAGCATGTTTAGACATCGACGACTTGTGCCAAAAATATTCCCTGTCTCAGAGAACTCTGATTGTGAAACAGCTTACCTCATTTTCTGTCTTTTCCAACAGCTTCTGACATTTTTTTAATGTCTATACAACACTTTTTTGAATGTTTTTTTTCTCTCTGGCTAAGTTTTAGTAAAGCATTGCGGACTAGGTCTTAGTTTCTTTTAGACATGACAACAGAAGTCTGTGTGTTTTATGTACATCAACATTGCATCCAAGTCATTATTGTTGGATTTGTGCTTAGAGATGCTTGAATATTTCCATATTCTTCATTCTGATCTGAAGATATTTGTTGTTTCATGTGTCATTTTCTGCACTGCGTTCAAACACCCCCACAACATGATGCAGCCGCCTCTGTAGTTCATACTTTGTTAGTATCTTAGTGTGACAAGGGCACAGTTTAAGTCTCTAATGATTATATTCTTTGTCCTTGAGGGCATTTTCAAACTGGATTCAAGCATTTATGATGCTTTTGCATATCAGCTTTTTCCTCTCCTCACCCATAACTTGCTTCACTGTGGGTGAACCTCTTAAGCAATGCAGTCTCCAAGGTCCTTTACATTTTTGTAGGGTTAATCTGAATTTTTATCATCATCATCATCATCAACATAATTTATTTATGAAGTGCAGCATGGACAGCCATCTCAAGGACACCGTGAGACAGATAATCCTTGACTTTACAAATAGACTTGCAGAAGTTAAACTGGACTACTGCTCTAATCAGTTTAGTACATTTAAAATCAATGGCAAGGATGAACCAAAGAATCCAGACAGTCAACATACAGCATGTTAGATTAGCCATTCTCATACCATTTGTACTTGCATCATTATTTTAGCAGATGAAGCGTAAGCAATCAAAAAAAAGTTTCATTTTGACTTTTGTACAATGTTACACAAGTAGGTGGTGTTTGAGCTGCCGGCTTAAAATGCATCCATGGTTATGATTGACATTTTACTCCAAAGGTTTGAGGAACTTCTTAGAAGCCTACAGAGAATTGACATCATCATCTTGACTTTTCTAAGTTGTTTAACCCCCTGATTCCTGAATTGTATATATACATATATTGTTGCCTTTAATTAGGTGCCAAATTGGATTGGAATTTCTAAACTTTCTATTATTTACAAATAATACAAATGTAGGGATATTACAAATTTGAGAAATTTATATCAGTCAATGATAACATACATTGTGAGGGACAAGTTGTAACAGAAACAAGAGCTTGGCTAAGGTTCCTACAATAGATCCACATTGAATGTGTAATACCGGTAATTGGTTCTGGGGGAAAGCTCATGCGATCTTTGCTGTGTACCTAATTACGAAGGGTTTGTCACATATTTGCAACAATGAGGGGTTAGAATATTGTTATTTTACAGTGTGTAAACTTTAGAATTTAAAAAAATAAATAAAAATCTGATTTGTTATTCTGATATTAAGTAAACAATATTGTGCAGTCTTGCCTGATCTAGGAAAGAAAACAAATGACTGATTTAATATCAGACAAAGGTTAATTCTTCTTATTAATGCTGTATGTTTAGGTATTTTGTTTCATCTCAGCGCACCAGTTCAGCTTCTAATATTATCCGGTTTTAATGTTTTGTTGCCTGCGATAGACTGGTTACCTGTCCAGGCTGTACCCCGCCTCTTACCCATAGACATCTGGAGATAGGCACCAGCACCCCTCGTGACCCCGCTTGGGAAAAGTGTGATGGAAAATGGATAGATTGATAATGTTTTGTTGCTTACTAGAGACCCCATGATGAGTTAACTGGAAATACCCACCACCCCTCTCCTTACTCTGTTTGAGCCAACCCTATCCTCTCTTTTTAATGGCTGTTAATAGCAACCATCTCCAGGGGCCTTTGAACAAACAAAATAAACACAATTTCTGGGATTTTTCAGGCAGCATCCTGGAGGAATGCATCACACATATGTTACAGGGGCTAGAAGTGTTGGGTGCTTTCTAAGGTCAGAGCTGGATAGCTGCAGGTGGGAACCTAGGGATAGATGATGATGGGATTTTTTTCCCTCCCTGGTCTTATTTTTGTAATGTTGACCCCCTGTTGCTTTATCCATCTGTATTGCATTACTAAGTAGAAGGCAGGAATTACTAGCCTGACGTAGTCCTACTTAATTCTAGTCAGAATATGAGTCTGATACTGCTCCATAGAGCTGTGATTATGGGGCATGTTTCGAACGAACCAGGAAAAAAAATGCCTCTGCACTCAATTGGATAGACCTACAACCAATAAGAGCAAAGGAGTGCGTGACGTACGTTAAGCGACGCATAGTTGTTGTCAACAAAAATCAAAGCGTGCAGTTGCACGCCTAGAATAAGAAGATGAGCCTTGATCGCGTTTCTCTGTTCCTCTTTTAAAATTAATTTGCTGTCGATATCTTCTAGAACAGACCTAATAGCAGAATCTACTCACCTCAACTCTCCAGCGGCAGCCATTGTTGTTGTCACCCAAGCGCGCTTTGGTCACGTGGTTGATTACGTTACTGTTGATCATCTGTCCATCATCGTATAAAGCCCGCCCTGACAATTTGATTGGCCTGCCAGATATTGTGCGAGCATACTCGCGCTACTATTGAGCAATGCCAGACCGAACTTCCTGACCTCAAGCGTTGTGGGCGGGACTAAGTTTCGGAATGGCACCCAGGCTAAGGAATTACCTCAGTTTAAGAGGTGTCTATGTCTTTAAGATGTTCCCCATTTTTCAACTTTGTCATGTTAGACAAAACTGAGCAAGTTGGATTTTAAAAACTCTACTCAGTGTTTCCCAGATCTTATTTATTTAAGTATTCTAACATCAAATACATGTCAATGTGCTGAGGTAGGCTGCCTATGATAAGTATTAATATATCCAACTTCAATGTATTTTATTAGAATTTTATGTAAATCCTAATATATTCTCTGTCTGATCCTCATAAATAAAATACACTACAACCCTTTTTCAGATAGAGAAAGTTTATTTGAAGTTTTAAGCAGCGTTAGGTTCTAAAACACTATTCTAATGCCACACACCTGGCTTATATCAATAAAAGAAAACTTGGTGCCTGCTAAGGAGGAGGTCACAAAATCATTTGCATCAGGTGTGCTGCACCAACATCTTACAACACACAGGGTAGTGGTGCCCATGGACCAGGAGGGAGAACCCCTGATCTAAAAGATGCTGGTCAGAGTTGATGGGGAGATTCAGATACTGTTGCAAAATGTTTCACCTAGGTCATTTTTTCTACCTCACAAATTCTGAGTTGTGTTAAATAAAATAAAATACACTGAAATTTGGAGTACCGGTAGTAACAAGATAACATGGGAAAAAGCTCAAGCGGTAGTTATTCTTTATTAAGAGACTAATAAATCTATAATGTGGTTAAGACTGAGTGTTGAAACACCATGACAGCATATGAGAAAAAAAGCTCTCTCCCTCTACTTAGCCTTAGACAATAAAACAATGATGCTGTCATATTTAGATAGGAAGTGGATGTTTAGTACCACTGCCAATGCTGGCTCATTCTTAGCTCAACAGCTGTTCCAAGTAATATAAAAATACTTGGCAAGCATGCTTCAGTGAGTGTATTTGTAAATGGTTTTGTGTTTTTCAGGGTTTCCAGGTGCTTGTACATTCATATCAATCAGCTGCGGTTTTTGTTTGGTAGATGCTGTTAGGCAACTCAATTGTTTTAGCCTCCCCCAGAGAGGGTCATATTTGAAGGACAGACTTGATATGATTTTTCTTTTATTTTGGAGGTGGGGAGGTACAATGTCAGTCTGTCAGGGGTCTCACTAAGACAAAGGAAACAACATCTGGGGGAACTGCATAACACTTCCTCTCTTAGAAAGATCTCTCTACAAATTCTCCAGAGAGGGAATCAAACATCAGCGCCTCATTTAAAATGCAAGGTCTCTAGTAAATAAAAAAAGAAAGAAAAAAATCTACCTAAATTGTGCAAATGCTATATTTCCTTATGTCCGAGCAGCTGTACAACCCAGAACTCCATCTTATTCAACAACCTGCCCTGTCCTGTGCCAGAAACACACCCGCTGTGCTCCCAGTGGGCGACCATTTGTAGAAGCTGGGTCAAAACGACACAAAAGACAGAAAGCCACATGCATAGTGATGTGGTGATTCATAGGAATTTCCACTGGTGTTTCCCATTCCTTGAGTGAAAATAATTAACACACACCATTACATGGATACTGTCAATGCCAAGCTGTTACACTGACTCCTGGCTGTGTATTCTGTTTATTTGTCTGTGCAGGACATTTGGATAGGGATCCTAAAATTCTTCGATCTGAGAATCCATGGATCCTGCATAAGGACAACACGTTGAACCTCACCTGCAGGTATGCACAGCTACAAGCCAACAATTGTCTGTTTTACAGTTCCACAGTGTTGGATCCAAAGTCAGAAAAGCTACATTAGTATTGAGTTTTAACATAAATAATAGTTTACCAGAGTTAAGGGTGTCTGAATGAGCATTTTTGCTTTTTTGTTCAGTTATTAGATAGTGAATCTGTGTGGAAACTATCTCAGTATAGTTTGCACACGATGCACTGATTTCAAGAAAAGAGATTAACATCATAAACACTCGATAATTTATTGCAAAGAAAAGTAATTTATATAGCAAATTTTAGGTGCAAAATAATTCAAAGTGATGTGCATGAGAAAAAGGCATTTTATAATGTGATTAAATATTTAACCAACAGAATAAATAGGAATAAAGTAATTTTACATAAGATATGAAAAAAAATGATTAAATGAGTGATAAGAAAATGAATGGAAAGTTGGACTATCCTGTTATTAATTTCTGAATTAAACTGAATGAGACAGTTCTCATTCAGTTATGTGAATTTTATCGTTGTGAAATATGAAAAAAAGTTATCCATCTGGAAGATGCTTTATTTTCAGGGAACCTAAAATGTACACCTCCCTATAAAAGTATTGGTGGAATATATCATAAATATCAAAAATAAATGTCAGAATCAAAACACTTCAAATGTATGATTATATTTATCTAATCATCAATAGAATAATTGAATTATATTATATTACGGTACATTGACTTATAAGAATGACAAATATTCTATTAACAATACTTTAAAAATAGACTCTAAAAACTTAAGAGAACACCGAAAGGACTGAGGGTGAAACTTAAGACTGCATTGGTTTCTATTTTCTAAATATCTTTTGTACCTTTGAAACAATTGAAGAATTCAACAAAGGAACCTTACACTTAGCCAAGGACCTTATTGTTTTCCTCTCTGTGAACAAAGTGGGTTCTAAATGGTGGTTCTAAATCATCCTCTTCAAATTACTACTAAGATCTCTGCTAAGCATTTGTTTAACCTGGCTTCAAAATAGTTTTTCTAAGGAGTTGCTGGCTTTTTTCATCATGGTACATGTGCTTGATTTGTTGCCTGTTCTTTTCCTAATTGTTTTTCTAAAAGGTGGCATATTTTCAAGTAATATGAAGTTGAACTTATAAAATGATTTAAAAATGAAGAGTAAAGCAATCTAAGTGTAAATAAAGCTTTGAATATAAAATAAGTGTTGTTACACTTAATGCATTTTTGTGCCCTAACATCAGACCCAGAACTGTCTGTACTGTAATTACGCATACACAGCAAATACCTGAACCCCCAGTCGGCCTCAGCAGAAGGCCGCGCATACATAGCTGGGTTCTGTTGAAGGTTGCTTCCTGTTAAAAGGAAAGTGTTTTTCTCTCCACTGTCGCTGCATGCCTTCTAAATGTGAGGGATTGCTGAAGATCCTACAACACCATGCTAGCAAATGTCTACTGTCGGTCGCTATATGCTCATCTAGGAGGAGTTAATCCTATAAAGTCAATAATGAGTTGCACTCAGCTGACAACATCTTGTGAATTGGTGCGATAAACAAACTAAACATTGAAAAATCAGAAATTCAGCTTTTAAAGTAAAACAATAAAAAAAAAATGTATGGATCATAATTAGAGGAATGAAATGCAATAAATAGTTCAAGTCAGTCTAAAGGGAAGATTACTTTAGAAGGCCTTTGTCTTTAATCCTGTTAGTCCTTGTTCTTATAGTTCTTCAGCCCTGTACTTGGTGGAAGGGGGTCAGTAGCAATGTATCCTAGCCCTATTTTGAAGTGACATGGTCTGCATGGAGTCCTAGTCAGGGAGGGGACATCCTACAATCGCCGTGCTGTTTTGACCACCCAGGCAAAGTGCTTTTTTTCCTGTGTCACGCTGCTCTTGTACCACACAGTTGCATTTAGACACTGGATGTTCTCTATTAAGCTTTTTAAAAAGTTCACAAGCACTCTGGGGTACAGATCCTTTTCACCTTTTGAAGAAGACCAGACCTCTATTGAGCTGTTCTTACCAGGTTATTGTGCAAACATCCCTGGGTCAGTGCCGGATCTCCTTCGTCCACCCTAGTGGACTGAGGACACAGCACACCCCAATGCAAAGGACTAGAGAGGCAAGGGCCACTTCCCTATTCTTACCACTTTGGCCCTTTTGCCTGAAAAGTCTCTGACTGAGGAACACATGTAGGCGACAGTCCCGGGTTCAAGTATCAGCTTGTGCAATACCTATTACAGTGTTAAAAGATCAGCTGAACACCACAAGCAGAATTCTAACAGTATATTTGGTCTTGTGAATGTGACTTTTTTTTTATTTTTTATTTTACTTCTAATCAGATTGATACTTGAATTTGGATTTCTGCAGTCTGATGCTTTTCTTTCTGCTTTATTGCTATCATCATTACTGTTTTAAGAGATTGTTACACACTCCTTTTTATGTATGATATGTATGAATGTGCACATGTATATTCTAAAAGGCAACTTGAGATTAGCATAAGCTCAGAAAGAAGGCATATAAACAGTGAGCCGTGTTAACAGAACAAATTCTATCCTTAAAACAGCTATTTGACTGTAACAGTTGAAATTGGCTGTATTTATTAAATCAAAGACAGATACCCATAAATGGATAAATCTTCCTGCTGTTTTTGGCATAGCTTAGATTTATTATAGAAATAGAGTTAACTCATTTGTCCCTATTGGGCCCATTTTCACTGATACCCGACCTAGATTCAATATCAGGGCCTATGAAAATATTAATATTGGATTTATGCATTTTTAGAATAAATAGAATAGAATAGAAAATCCCTTTATTGTCCCACAATGGGGAAATTGTGGTGTTTACAGCAGCAAAAGATTACAGAAAAACACACAAACATGGACCTTAAAAAAGTGGACAAAAATAACAGAATGAGAAGGTTGAAAAACAACCAAATAAAATACGGTGCTGCACAGTGTTTTTACAATATAAATACTATGCATTTGGAAAGAATAAATAATCAATTGGAATTGGAAACAGTGATGGTTATAAAGTGTTACAGCTGCTGGGAGGAAGGATCTGTGATGATGCTCCCTGGTTCATTTAGGGTGCAGCAGTCTGTCAGTGAAGGAATGCTCCAGTTCAGCAACAGCTTCATGCATGGGGTGGTAGACATTATCCAACAGAGATGTTCGTTTCCTTAGGATACTTTTGTTTCCCACCTCCTGCACTGATTCCAGAGGGCATCCAATCACAGAGCTGGCCTTCCTGATCAGTTTATATAAAGTAAAAAGTATTGGAACTGCATTGTTTTTGTATATATTTTTTTATATATAAATTAGCTATTTATGCATGCAATATTCATTCAAAAAAATTAGAAATCGGGGAGGTGTTTAATCTTTTGTTACCATCATAGAGTTTACAGTTTAATATGTTATTTTATTACTTCTATTTAGTGCATAGCCTTCATACCAGAGGAAAAATAAACAACCACAATGAAGCAGGGACAGTGTTTGACAGGAACCAGGGATGGAGGTCCGAATTTATCAGTCCCTTGCTATTTCCTTTAGAGCTGGTGGGACTCAAGTGTGCTGCATTCACATTTATGAAGTATTCAGGGGATCGCATCATTTCTCAAGCTTGCAGAGAATGCTCACAAACTAGGGCCTATTGAATGTAACGTTTCCCTACAAGGCGACATGACAAGATGCTCAGGGGGTATATAGGGCTGCGTCATTTTCTGTCACTGGCTGAGAACTAGAGGTTGTTTGACCCAAAAGTTTCTGCAGGCGAAGGCAGTGGTATGCTAGACATGTTTGATGTTCCTCTGGGAAACTTTAATGAGAGTTTTAAAATGAGTTCTGCATGGAAAGAATGTGTTAGTTGAGCACATCTTTCAGGAGAATCAAGTTCCCATGTGAAAGTTCAAGGTATCTGGTGACTCAAGATTAACTCCAAATAAACTCTGGATGAACATCAGGGAAGAAATCTCCAAGGAGAGGTTGCAAGATTGCAATGGCGGTTTGCCAGCTGTGACACTTCAGCTAAAAATAGTTCTGAAATATGCAGTGTTTTTTGTACAGAGTCAATAAACAATATCTTGTCTAACACTCATCTCTCTCTTTTTCTCTTCATTTAGAGGTCAAGGAAAATTAAAATGGACACTTGCAAATCGATTAATCCCATCAGAGGGGGTTAAGGTGAAGAATTGTGACCACAGACAACATTCCTACTGCAGCAATCTCATAGTCACACACTTAAGGGCCAGCGACACAGGGACGTACTCCTGCAAATACTCCAAGGCAGACTCAAGCAGCTCTTCAGTCTATGTCTATGTAAAAGGTGAGGCAGAGGGAATTTTCCTCACAAAATAAAAGTAATTTTGTTCCTACCTACTGCTTACTCTACCTTTTACACAGTTTTAAAAATGAACAGTACAAAATATTTTGACTGGGTACTGTTTTTGCTCGAGGTTGTTTAAAAGTGAACAAAATATAGATTTGGAAGCAGGAAAGTTAGAAGAGAACTGAAACTATCAACAGAAACCAATGAGCTATTTGAGCAGGTTAGAAAGGGGAACAATGTGGGCAAATATATATCATGAATTTCATTAACTAAGACCATCATAAAACACTAGAATATCCATCTTTTTTTTATGTGACAGGATCAGACTAACAAAAAACTCAGACAAGCCATAGAGAAGCACCAGTCTGAAAGCCAACCATGAGGTCAAAGGTTAAACTAAATGAGCTACAAAGATTAGACACTAGAGGTTTAGTCAAAGTCGCAAACAGCTCATGATTAATGGTCTAAAGAAAGCAAATTAGAGGTAAAGTAATGGCAGCATCATGCTAGGTCAACAACTTTTAGATTTTTATTATAAAAGGTATGAGTAAAAGCAAAAATGTTCTTTTTCCATACAATACCACAGATTTGCCTTAAATAATTACAGTGATGCTGAACACACTAAGATCATTTTGATATTTAAATAACGATAAAAAAATCGCCTTTTCAGATCCCAGACTTTAGCTTTACTTGCAATCTTTAGCACAGTGTAGTTAAAGTATTATTTTACACTAGGAGCAAAAACATCTTACATGTTTAAAGGATCTGCTGCAGTTCTAGCAAAAAAAAAAAAAAAAAATGCTGTACATAGTTGTTATTCTATATTTCTTTTCACTCAGCACTTGGTAATCTGCAGGATCCTGCATAGCTTATTCCTCTGGGTTCCTTAAAGAAACAGAGAGACAGGGAGTAGTTTCTGCTGTGGTTACACTTGGAGGTTAAAGGGTGAGCCTGATTGCACAGGAAACTCTGGCCATTGACTGATTTCCTGCTCTAGCTACTGTTTTCCCAAGTCTTCCCTGAAGCATTGCATTACACCGGTCATAGCTCCTGTTCTCTTCAAGCAGGGACCCAACTGAAACTCTGAAGAAGTTCATGTAAATACAAAGTTCTCAGAATTTGGTCCAAGAAATGGTTAGCTTTAGAAACAAGCTTAATTTCCTTTCATGTTGCTCTGGGAATGTGGTTTCCAGTCTGCCTTGCCTGCCAGTCCTGTGTTTAGTCTGGCGACCTGTTTTCAAAGGCCCTCGGTTATTTATTAGATTATGATCCACACTTACTTCTCTGATAAAAGTTCCCTTATTACGCCAATAATGCTTGACCTCACACCAGTGTTTAAGTTCCCACAGTTGTAGTTTGATGCCTGGCTGGTCAGTAGGCGCTAAGCTGAAAAGTCCTCTTGGGCTTTGCGGCCTTATCTTAGTCTTGCCTTGACTTTGTCTTTATTTAGTTTCGGCCGTCCAGCTTGCCGGTCCTTGAAGCGTCATGGGAAGTTGCAGACAATCCCAACTGACACTGCGTAATTTATGGCTGGATAACATTTTCTAAATCAGCATGGGCTGATGCAAAAAAATTTAAATTAAAATTGCATAGTTAGTTCTCTGTAATCAAAACAGAAAGGCCTTAGTTGTTTCAAATAGTGAGAAATAAAAACACAAAACTGTTGATTATGATGGATATTTTGATGCTACAATATATGTGTTATTTTTATTGTGATAGATAACTTTCAGCCACATTTTAAAACAGACTGCAAGTAACCATCTGCTCTGCTTAAAAGATATGTGTCTTAGGAAAGCTGTAATCTTACTCTGAAACACTTTCCGCCATATTAAAAATTCCTTTCTCGCGTTACTCTTTATCGCGGTCCTTTTTTCTTCTTCTCCTCTTTTCTGTTGTTTTTTTCCTAGTTGTGTCCTTAATTCTTCTCTTTTCCTTTGTCCATCCTTCTTCCTCCACCTTCCCTCCTTTTTTCCCTCCCTACCTTTCCCTTCTCTTCTCTCCACTCTGTTATTTCCTTTTGACTTTCATGGCTCTGCATTTTTCATTTCCCATATGTAAATCCACCCCACTTTAAGAAAATTTCTAATACCAATTCCGATTGTATTTTGCTTGTATTAGTTACATTGAACCTGAAGGAATGGCAACCTTGGAAGGTTAAATCTAAAGTAGAGATATTACTTTATAAGTATAATTACATATGTGTTGTTTAGATATTTGAGCATTTTGTGTTTAATACAAATTTGTCATTTAAACCTCATGTTATGACGATAACAGAAACACTTACATTGAACCTTTTATATTTGATGCATGCAAGACACAGTATGTGTAACTGCACAAATATTTAAGAATGCTGTGATTTTTTTCCTCACATAACTTACTATTTAACAACCTGGCTTCAGGCAAACTCATCGACCTTGAAGTCTGTAGAGAGGCTGTACAAACAGACATAAAGATAATAGATAGAAAAGCTCATAAGGTATAAACACTTTAATATTTTAATAAAACAATGTTGAGTTGATAGAATATGATCATCAATCTAGCATTATCTTGCATCTCTAGCCTTCAGGTTAATGACAGGTACTTCAAATAGCTCTACTTGAACAGACGGCCTTGTGTACCTTTTGAATAGAGTACTTTTTCAAAACTCTTGTGGCTATAACAAAATACCAGAAATATTAAAAACATGTTGTTGCTGTTGTTCTCACACAATTTAAATCATAACTCTAATTATGGGATCCTTATATCCATTTTGCATTTTAATTAATTGTTCTGTGTAGTAATGGTTTGTTGTCATTGTGTTTTATGACTTCTCTATTCTTTTTAGGGACGCTATCTGACATGTTTCCTAGTTTTTTTGAAAGATTTTAACTGCTTTTGGAATTTGGAATACAAACATCTTGAGGATTTGTGCTGTATTGACATTTAGTGTATTTTTTTTCCCACTTAGACCCAGATCAGCCGTTTGTTGAACCCCAGAAGAATTTTTTGGTCCTGGATATTTACCGATATGAGACCCACCTTGTGGTACCATGCAGGACTACCTCACCAGATCTTAATGTACAATTGACAGCGGTAAGTTTGACCTGTAAGTCCACTTACATTTACGAAATAAATGAGGGCTGCAACTCGTGCTTATCTTGCTAATCGATTAAATTCAATGGAGTTTATTTATATAGCGCCAGTTCACAACACATATCATCCCACGGCACTTTACAGTTCACCAGATCATACAGTCAAACTGATTCAAAGTTTTCTATCTAAGGAAAACCAGTTGATTGCATCGACTCATTGACTCGAATGGAATTCCTCAGCATGCTTGTAGCGACAGTGGAGTGGAAAAATTCCCTTTTAACAGGAAGAAACCTACAGCAGAACCAGGCTCAGTTTGAGCGGCCAACTGTAAAAGGCGGCCCCATCCAGGAAACACACAGCCAGGCAGATGAGCTCAGGTCCAGCTCCCATGTCAGAGGATGAAGAGAGCACATCCAGCCAGTCACAGTCAGAGAAACAGGACTACACTGAAAGACAGGCCAGCTCGAACATCTATAAACAAAGGCGTCCCTAGCAGCAGCACAGCTGATATTTCTCTCCAGGATGATGTCACAGCCAAACAGGAACAGACGAGGCAAAGCTACTATGAGAAAAAGCAGAGAGAGCATAACGTTAGATATTGAACTAACAGATTCTGCAGAGTGGGAGAATAGAGATAGAATGAAGCAGATTGATCTGTTGATTATGTTTTACATTAATCAATTAATATTCCGATAGCAAATGGCTCCTTAAAGAAGATGTTTTACAAAAATTTATCCTGGTGAAACTCAAAAACGTTTGCACTTGAGGAGTTCTGGATAGAGCATATTGATGGACGAAACCTTTTTTTTTAATCTCAAATGCTAAATATTTCTTTATTTTTTACAATTTTGGTATAATTACTGCTATAATTTGATTGCAGTGTCAGCTAAAGGCATGTTTTAGAGTCTATGCTCTAGTTAATGATGAATTGATTACTAAATTAGCAGACGATTATTTCAATAATTAATTAATCACGTTTAATCTGCTGAGTTTTTTCAGCCCTATATAATAATAGATTAATTTCTCCATAAGCATTCATATAACATTTGTGAACAGAACATTAGAAACAAGCAGCAATTATAGAAACAATTAATTCAGCAATTTCAATCCTTATTCATCACCTGTAAAGGAAAATGATACATCCTGGGGCAAAGATTGTCTTACTGGTTCCCACACCCTTTGCATGGTTAGACGCTCAGACATGGAGTGGAGGACAGTGAGTTGTATAAAGGAAGCTCCGCTACGGTAAACAGAGCCATGTTGTCTGCTTCCTGTGTAGGCAGGAAGGTGCTCCAGGAGCTCTCTTCACAGGAATAGACCCTTGGACTAAATTTAGCCACACATCTTGTATAACCATAGAGACACACCTAAAGATATTCATTATTTCTGTTTATCACATAGGAATCAAATGGCACAGATTGTACAAACTTCCTGTTTTTAATATATCACTTTTCCTTCCTTCCTGCCCTTCTCACTTCCTTCTCATCCCTTACCTATCGTCCCAACCTCTCGTCTTCTGTCTTGGGAGTAAACAGGAGCAGGCACGTACATTCTTTCTAGACCGTGTAGTGTTATTATGTGCTCCGTTTGCATGAATAATTGCACAGGTCATGCTCAGCATAGACAGTAATACTTAATTAGGCGCTCACTCTAGCAGATGTTAGTCCTCAGGTGAACCCACTAAAGCATGAGTTACATCCTAAATTAAGTTGAAAGCTTTAGCCAGTGATGCTTAATAAACATTGCATAGGTTATTTAAAATTAATTTTGTTGGCTTTATCACTGCAGAGCCCAAAACTCTCGGGTGACATCGAAGAAAAGAAGGAATGGGATCCCAAAGTGGGGTTTAGGATTCCCTATGGTCCCTATACCATACACACATATCTCATATGTAAAACCCAGGTCAATGGTCAACAGTATATTTCCTACTATGTTCCTCGGAGACCAGGTGAGTTCAAATCTTAATGCAAAAGTTTTCGACAAACGCAATGTTTTTTTAATACTTACAAGCAGATGTGCCGCTACTCTCTAGGTACGGGTCTAAAAAATGTGAAAATCACACCTAAGCGTGTCAAAGTGTTGGTTGGCGATACACTCACCCTGAATTGTAGGGGGCAGGCAAGCCTTAATGGAAAAATACAATTCTCCTGGGATTTTCCTAATCATAAAGTAAGAGGGACTAGGTTCTTTTAAAAGGACAGTTACACAATAATGGTGTTTATGCTGATTTGCTTTTGTACATTTTTTTCTTTCCCAGGAAAATCGACAGAACCAAACAACCACACCCACACGGACACTTACTGATGTTGTGACAATGAGCCAGACTTTGGTGTTAAAAAACATAACCATGAAAGATAGTGGGGAGTATCTCTGCAAAACTAGTCTTGAAGGCTTAGAGCACGTGAATGCTTCAGCAAGGGTGACAGTCTATGGTGAGCATAATATCACGAAGGGTCTCCTATGATTATATGAGCATAATTTGAATTTTATATTTTAGAGTGGACTTCTGTTTTTTTTTTCATAATTTGTCTTCTGTTGCAGAGCATCCCTTTATCAACTTGACTCATAAGCAGAACCACAGAGGCTTAGTGATTGTCGCGGAAGGTACAAAGAAGATTGTGCTGGAGCCCAAAGTCAACGCGTTGCCTCCAACAGACGTGATTGAATGGTAGGCTAGAGCTTGAAGTAACAGACTGAGTTAAGCACTTCTGGATGGATGCAGCTAAGGACAGGGGGATCCAGAAAACCTATTTGAGGCAAAAAAAGATGTCAAACTACTGCAGAAGCTCATCTTTCAACTGCATCATGACTATTATAACCAATCCAAACCGAGCTTGAGCTGATTTTGTAAAGCAGAATAGACAAAAACTTCAGAGAAAGTAATGCAAAGCAATGTGAATGATACTCCAAAAGTCTCTAGATATAATAATAGCAAGAAGTGTGTTTGCCTAGCATTAACATGTCACATTTCAAGACCTTTGTTTATTATTTATGTTTTTAAATTTTATTTTTAACAATTTGTGTCAGCCTAACACATAAGATCCTACTGAATATGTAAATATGTAACTTATTAAGTGTACAAACCATTTGAGTATGAATACCTTATTTATTTGATCATCATGATAACTGACTACTAATTGCAACTATTGTCAATTTAACTGTCAGTTGTTTTGCTGTAGATTACTAGATAATATATTTTCTAATTTAGAATGTTTGTTGGGGCTCCCTAACTTTCTGCAATTTTTTTTTTTACATAGATTGAAGATTTATAAAAGGCATGAAAGACATAATGACACAATATTTATTTATTTATTTTTTTATCTAGTGTTTCTTATTTTTCTATCATCATGATTTTTCCCTTTTGTAAACAAGATTAGCCCCACTTAAAAAAAAGAATAAAAAAAAAAAAAAAAAA